TAGCAGCCGAAGTTGCAGAAACACTGGGCAAAATTTTATTTTCTATGGGTCCAAACTAATATTAGTTAAAAAATAATGGTTTTTACATATCGAGAAGCCCAAACTATTGTCAAGGCTACTTTCGAAAATAGTTTGGATCGGAAACCTTAATATATATTAATATATACCAATAGAAAGTAAAAAATTGGATGTTAGACAAGAAAAGTGTTTTATCCAAAAATAAAAATAGTTATTTTATTTTCATTGTTTAGAAGACACACTTTAACTTTGGAAAGTATTTTTTATAGTCCTAAAATGTAAAAGTAATGAATGAATACAGCATACTCAAAAATTACTGGACTATATATTTTAGATTCTATACCAATGTGCAGCCCTGTACTAACGCAATTACGTATTATTTACCCCTTATTATCCATAACGCGGGTATGTTTATTATCATTATTATTATAAATTAAACAATGTTATTATATATACAAATTGGAGAAGCAACTGCAAGCTGCACAGCACAAATCTTTCACACGACATCACAAAATTGTCATATAATAATAAAGTAATAATGCGGGTGATAAAGGATTATAAGGTAGTAAGGAACTTTAATTTTTTTTATTTGGTAATACACAATAACTTATTATATTAAGAATGAGAACAAAACAATTTCTAAAAGGTTGCTATATAATTCAAGGATTCAAGCCGGTTATTTCAATGAAATAATGAATCAACAACATAATCAAAAAGAAAAAAATCAATTCTCTTTATCTAATAAGCTTAGAAAAATATTTTTTCTTTTAAGATTCTTGTTTCAACGTTTTTTTTTTTCAATTAATTGAACAATGAAGAGGAGGACAAGGAGGAGGACAAGGAAACGAGAGGAAAGAAAAGTTAAAAATCGTTGAATTGATATGATTGATTGATCTCTTAACATAAGGTTATAAAAATATTTATTGTTGCAACAAATAAATACTTTAAAATGAAATTATAAAATTTGTTTGATGTCGTGTAATCGTATTTTATACATTTTAAATCTTTCAAAAAAAAAAAAAAAATCAATAACTAAACTAGTTCTAAACTAGTTTATACATATAAATATATTATTTTTTTTTTTCTTGGTAAGACAATTTTACAAAAAACTCGATCAAAAAATTTTATCAAGCTTTTAATTTCGTTATATTTTTTTGGTAATAAAAAATTTTTTTTATTGTACCAATTAAAACAATCAAGATTTTTAGAAAATTTACAAGATGTCAAAAAATTTTGGTCAAAATTAACATTAAGAAATTTTGATTATCGTAATTTTTCATTTTATTAATGTGTGTGTTGTGTATATTATATATATATATATATATATATTTGAATTTAATGCATAAAAAACCTGCAAAAAAAAATTTTCATGTTTAATAACAAAAGGCGGGATTGACGACGAATCAAATTATGAGTATCCTCAAATATACAGAGATTCACACGAAAAAAAGCTTTTATGAAGAAAAATGATTTTTTTTTTATTTTAATTATGTATAAAAATTTTTTTGTGTATGTGCAATGTTTTTGAATGAGTATAATGCTTTTTTTTTTTTTTTTGATTATGAACAAGTTTTGTGATAATCTAACTGATAAAAATAATATCGGGAAAAATATAAACATTAATGTAATTAATGTTTTTTTTAAAAAAAAATGTATACGATTCACGTGACTAAACTATAATTTCCCCAGATAATTTGTATGCTTTTTTTTGATTGATGTATCACAACAAATAAAAATAAAACAAAATAAAACTAAAACTAGAAAAAAATTTTTTTTTGTCATATGTCAATCAATAAGTTAATATGTGTTATGCAGGATTGAATGACATTATAAAAATAAAAATGCAACCCTTTTTTAACCTTTT